TCATAGAAAGGCGCGCATACAATTATGTCACAAAGCCTTATTGTGGGAAAAATAATAGGACATTGCAAGCAGCAATTATACCCAACCCTTTCAGAGATACCGTAGAACCCACCGCACCACCCCTCTCAAACCACGCAGAATTATCCTCCCAGAGAGCGGCACCAACCGTAAGGCCACTAAATTGTAATCAAATAGCTAATAAAACCATACCACCTATCACCGTAGATATAGACATGTCACTAAATAATCCCAGAAAAAAGTCAAAGCCCCCCGAAAGTCGACCCTGTCCTCTCCTAGTCATTAGTCCTTTGCTAAAAAGAGGAAAATATGACCCAAATCATGCCAACAACAACAATGGCAGTATAAATAAGCCCACAGTTCCCACGGCTAATAGAATTAGCACTCACAGCTTGCGAAAATGCACCATGGCACACACTGATAACCAACGTCACAAAAATGCCACCCTCAATAGTACAAGCGACAATAGTCAGAACTCGACCACCAACAACTCAGGGTATACACAGTATGGCACACAAATTAATTTTGATCGGATATATGGTACAAGTTTCCTGGGAACTTACCCACCAAGTGGTACACACGAAACCCATACAAGGACACAACTAGCATCAAACCATCGGTGGAATATTATACCATGGTCATCACAACGACATATGCAGCAGTTTCTCCCTTGGTAAACCATTCATCTTTGCAGATGATCTGAAAGTAGCTTACACATTCCACCGTGATGACTTAGGATACTTTCAGAAAGCTGTTCAGGAAGAACTAGATAGGGTAACTGCATGGTCCTCCACACGGAACCTAAAATTCAGCCTTAAAAACTGTGGTTGGGTCTGCTTCGGTGCACCCTCAATAAATATCAAACTGGTACTTGAATCTATTGACTTGTCTAAACTCCAAAGTGTTGTTGACCTAGGACTCAGGTACTCTAGTGACCTGACATTTTCTGAGCAAGTGGCGACACAGACGCGTAAATCGAGGATGCTCTTAGGATGCATACTCAGGAATTTCCACAACTACGAAGCGAAACTATTATTATATAAAACTTGTGTCAGACCACTACTTGAATATTGTCCATTTATTCTCAGCAGCAGTCGTGTAAGTGACAAACTTAAAATAGAAAGTGTCCAACGATACTTCACGTCTAAACTACTAGGATTTGACTGCGAAAAGGACTACACATCAAGGTGTATAACTCTAGGTATCGACCCACTCTGGATGAGACGACTCAGCATTAACCCAACATTCTTCTTTAAAATCTTGCATAAAACATCACTCTCAGACAGTAAGGAGATACAGTTCTCACCGGAAGGCTCCTACAACCTGCGTAACCAAACGTGCACAGTATCTGGGAAAAGCTGTAAAACAGCACTCCGTGCATACTTCTTCGTAGTCATGTACTCTAAGATCTGGAACAGTTTACCCCTAGAAATAAGGACCTGTCACTCTATTATAAGCTTCAAACGCTTGCTATATAAACTGTTTCATCTTAATGACTATGCCAATCACACCGCACCACTTATTTCTAAAACGCATCAGCTATTAGAACACTATAACGCTTAGACTCATTACTAAATATTATGACACAAATAAACTTTAAGACTTCGCAAATATACATGAGAGAACAACTAGATTATAGGTAGTGTTTACTATACAATGATGTACATTTATAAACATTTATATATACATAAAATATTAATGTTCTTTTCATGTTCACACAGTTTCTCTTTCTGGGATTCTGTTGATGAGCCTACTCTTCTATTTACCACCTGGTCTAGGTCTAACAACACTGCATTTCAACTGAAATGATTATGAACTCCTGATCATTTGAGTAAATTCATACTCAAATTCCATGAACGATCCGATGCTACCATTTGAAAACGCTGGCCAACATTCTGTACAAGGAGTATTCTTGATCTGAAATAAAGAAGCAACTGGTTTTCAAACAGTTTTCAATATGTTACTCAACTAACATGTACAGTCTGTCATGCAGACACAAATGGCGCCAATGTATAGTTCTAGAATCGACGTCGGCCCCATTTGATGCAGTAAAACAATCCAGCATGCCCTTATCTAGTTTTCTTATCCACGATCAAATTTCTTTACTGTTATAAAACTACCATAAGACTGCTGAAAAAATGGAATAAATACATCACTGACCACAAAATAATACATCAATAAACTTTAACTCAAGGATGCTGATCCCAACAAAGTTGTGTAGGAGAATTGACTTCAAGCTTTATTTTTCCCAGATATTTGTATCACATTCATCTGATGTCTGGGTTTTTGTTAATGCGAAGACAATATTTCTATATCTCTTTATGTGTTACACAGACAGGCTATATTGCAGACTGTTCCGACTGACTCTAATGTCAGAAAGAACAACCAAACTGTAAATTCAGCATACATCGAAATATGTGTAATTTATATAATAACTTATCCATGCCTTTAAAATTGGTATGTTCCTGCATAAACAGGAATAAATATATATTATCTAAATTTACATATCCTTTTATATATTCTACCAGTTCTAATTAGTGTACATATGTTAATGCCCGTAAGAATGGCTGGTTTCTGTTCCAGAAATAAATTATCATTAATAGTTTAGCTCCTAACATTAACGAATGTTCAGGAACGTTCATTCTAACGCCTCATCAGAGCCATTCACCAGCCGAAAATCAGAAAGGCACTTTCAGTTACTTACGACGAAAACACTGGACAAAATGCCTAACTATTCAGAAGATAGCTATAACCACAGGTGCATCTTCCCTTGTGGGGCCGTAGCTAGACGCTCATGCACCTACAGTTTTCATGCAGTTATTGGAAACGTGTGTTTCCCCACATTTAGTACTTCGTAGGGTTATTGCATTAATATTCCTGGAGAAAGACGCTGTTATTTCAGGAGAGGTATAAAAGACAACAATTACAGCGGACAATGGGCCAAGATGCCAGCTGTAGGGCAGCAGCCTGCAGAAAGTGGACCTGTCTACTCTCAGGTGCCACAAAAATGCGTGCGACTTACTGGAGCCACAACTTACGCCACTGTAATCGAGGAAAGACTAGACGATTACGTAAAAACGAGGGGCTCATGCACATGAACAACAATCGTCGTGCTCTACCTTCCATTTCTGTCAACCACTCTCTCTTCTCCAGTCCTGTTGCCTTGACATTGCTGTTACTACAGTTTCTCCATCTAATGGTGGATTATCACGGGAAACGAAAACTGGAATTCACAATGTCGATGCCATCTTTCTATAAACAACGACTTCCCTTCAGGGCACACTAAAGTTCTTTTGTCTATTACATTTGTTTGAGCTGTGACAGTCCAAGGGGTAAATCCAAAGTAACAGAATCCGTCAGAGATCCATAAGTGTTCCTAAGTGAAAAAAGTGAGCACTAAGAATTCATTTGGTTTTTAAAATGCTGTCGAAAAGATACTGGATTGTCGTATTTCTCCAGAATGAGTAAACCTGTAAGAATTCTTCACTGTAAGGCAATTTCCAAACCATGAGAATCAAATGCCTACGACTCTACCCAACAATGGTGATTGAAATATGCGAAAGTTGTTATCCGACCCTGGTGTTTTTATATTTCACAGACCTGAAACGGCGTACGCAATTTACTTAAGTATGTGATGATCCCCCCCCACTTCATCCTTGTGCTTATTATCATGTCTAAATAGTAGTAAGACTTCAGCTCTCTGGTTTCCCTCTCAATCCCTTTCATTGTTTCCGATTAACTTCGTGGGAAATTAGGAGACTGGTAGAGTCAAGTTGTAATATTTGACACTGTATTTCACTTAACTCCGTAAACAAATCTCTGTGTTTTTGCATCCTGTTACTGAGGTTTTCAACCACGTGCCCACTGTGAAGACAGCATTCTACTTGTGACTTATCAGCTGAATTTATCTCTATCTCTAGTGAGTCACAGTCATCCAATCGAGATTCGAAGCCCGTACCCAGTGGCTCTTGAAACCACAGCTGAACGGCTCAAGTTCCAGTGAAATAAAGCTATATCCAACAGAAGAACACCAAGCAAAATACCCATCCGCCCCAACGGGTTGATCTCCGACGAAATCTCAACACGAATACAGAGGGCTAGTTTCGCATATGCCAGTTTACGCCGTCTCTGACGTAGACGTGATTTCCGACTATCGACCAAAGGGCATGTGTACTGCTCATCAGTCCGCTCCGTCCTCCTTTATGACTGTGAGACCTGGCCATTGAGAGCGGAGGACATGAAATAATCAGCTGTCTTCGATTATAGGTGTCTGCGTTCTATCTCCCGTGTGAAGTGGTATAATAAGGTGAGCAATATTGAGGTTAGGCATCGAGTGGTAGGTAAGGAGGGAAAATCAATCGACGAGGCTGTGAAATTACATCGACTGAGATGGTTAGGACATGTGTTACGTATGCCTAGTCATCGCCTTCCTCGACGGGCAATGTTAGCTGATATAGGGTCAGGCTGGAAAAGAGCTAGCGGCGGTCAAACCAAAACATGGCTTCATCAGTCAATGAAATCCACAACAGTTAGTTTAAGCCAGCCACGTAGGAAGGTGTAGACTTCTCGACTGGTTGGGGTCCTCGGGACGGTAAAAACCAATGGTTGGAAACAATTTGTGACATGGCTCAAAATCGTTCTCCGTGATGGCTGGCGCAGATTCATCCACTCCTTGTGACTTATGATTTCCAATGAAACTGTTTTGTTCTTCGTTATTACTATACTTTTGTCTCACACCTCTGTTTACTGTCTCTAATATGCATTTCTCCTACTTTCTTCTCTTCCTTTATGTGCTAAATGGAGGGAGTGTGGCGACTTGAACTGCCGCACATATGTGCAAAGTTCTATGTCGAAAACCGACCGACCGACCTAAGTAGGATACCACTGTCGAGCAGATGACAATTCTCGGTGACTGACAAAGTAGTCTGGTAGTGTTGCTTTTAGCCTGTAACCAACCTTTCATAAAAATCAATAGAACACCTTTTCGTGTTTAAATAAATCATTTTTATTTCAAAAATATTTAATGCATGAGATGAAATTAAATTTTCAAGAAAATAAGCTGAACAATAAGAAAGTATCGTATAGTTAATTTTCTCTAAGATCATTATTAAATTATCTCATAGGTGTATAATTGTCACATCGTACATGAAATAAATGAATCCAACAGACACACACACACACGAACGCATACAGATAGTTAATTCATCCGTGGATAATACGAGAAATTTGATATTAACTCTTCAATTGTTAAATCATTTGAATTCAAAGCATAACAACGACCTTGTTGACTAGCATTCTTGACAATTTGTACCGCCATCTGTGCAGAAACACGTTTGATATCAGTCAACGGGGGGAATAAACGTCCCACAGCATAATCGGATTCTGATACTAAACTGGCAAGGGTCTAAAAAATGCAGAAAACCAAGAGAGACAGAAAGTGAGCGGAAAAAACAACCAGGAAGGGAATTATTATTTATGTAACTATATACTACTGGTTCTTCCAAATGAGAAGTTGCTTGTATACTACTCAAACCAACCAGATATCGAAATGATCTAAGTAGAAGGAAAGTAAGATAAAAGAGATGAAGATGAAGACAAAGATGAGCGAGGATTAGAGAGGTTTCGTGTGCATATCCGATTGTGAGGGCGATCGTTACTTCCCGGCTGCCCACACTGTGGAAGTTGGTTGCGTGACCGCAGAGCCCAGGGGACAACTGCTTGAGGCCGGTCACACACGGCCTGTTTTTGTTTGTTCTTTCTTGTTTGGTGTCTCAGTAGCATATTAATCACTTCTGCCCTGTGACACGACAGCAGGAAGCGCGGTCGTTGGTAATCCGGGCCCTGACCGATCCGGCATGATATTTTGTGATTTACTTTGAGTCATAGAATTGGGTTGGGTAACTGCTTTTTGTCTAACCGCTATCCAAACAACCTTTCTGGCATGGTAGGACCTCAAGCGACATAAGCCTCAGCCAGTATAGCTTGTGATGTTCAAGCCCGACCACCACGTCAAGGTAGCAGCTTTCGGTCGGCCATTTTGCTCATTTAGGGATGAGCTCGTCAGCAACTGAGTACTCGATCTGACTTACCTCAGAGGATGAAATCAGTCGAAACCACCTAATTTCTGGCTGGCTATTTGGGTGAACCGGTGATACCATAAACCGAATCCACGATTTGCAATTTACACAGTTCAAGGCGATTGTTATTACGCTAGCTCAAGTCATTAGTATTTATAGCATTAAGGAGATCATATAGCATATGGTAATCTGAATAATTTCGGTTCCCAGAGGAAACTGTGATGAAATCTCACCTCCTCGAATTGTGTAAGTCGAAAATTAATTTCCAAATTGAGAATTTGACATATTTATGCAAATGTAATTTGAAGACAGATCAGCTTTTATTTATCGGTAAAAGTATGCAGAAGTGAAAGCATATGCATGTATGCATATTGATAGCGTGAAAGACGTGAAAATGAGATTTATAGGCTTAATCACTCCCAGGTTCGACTCCCAGCCATCGTATTCCTAAACTTCGCCTAGCCCATAGGAAATCATCTGGTAGGGAAGGAGTACTGGGCGTGAGACTAGCAATCGAACCCCATAAAGTCAAAAGTTTCAGCTGAAGTTTGAGGACGTATGTCCCACTCGAAACACAAAAGGACCACCAGATAGAGGACACCTTGGAATTTTTCAAAATTATTAACTGACAATATAATAATAATAATACAATTCCCTTGAAATTTGCCGAAGCAGTTGCTATCATACATGTTCAAAGCAGTTATTAATCTATCCTGGGAGCAAACCAACCCGGAACCGATTGTGAAACAAATAGGCAGGAAGAAATGGAGATGGATTGGCTGGCCACACTCCAAGGAAACCATCAAGTGACATCACTAGACAAGCCATTGCTCTAGTGGAACCCGAAAGAGAAGCGGCGAGTTGGTCGTCAGTGCAAGGGTGACTTGGAGGAGGTCATGTGAAGAGGAGATGAAAACGTGTGGGCAGACTTGGAGCCAGGTGAAGACTCTAGCAGGGAACCGAACGCAATGGAGACGCACGGCTGAAGCCCTATGTTCCTGTAGGAATTAAAGGAAACAATAATAATAGTATAATAATCTATCCTTGCCCGAGATAACTCGATATTGTAACTCTTCTTTGATTATTTGATTACATGACCTCTTGCTTTAAGTTAACTTGCAGTCAATAAGGTCCAAGTCTTGAGTCTCAATTCTCCTACTTCAACCTGCGGAAACGGGCAGTATCATAGGATCCGACACAATAAGCATGGCTCATTGGCTCATGTACACGAAATATCTGCTCAACGTAGCAGAGTTCAAACAGCGCGCAAAACGATCCATTGATTTTCAAGTGTTGGTTAGTAGGGATTTGATTGATTACAGGTTTTATCACGATGTGACATACATATATATCTTCGCGCTCGTCTTGTAACCGACAGGTCATTGAGTCAAACTCCGAGGGGTGGATACTGCCGAAGAGTCTCAAGAGCCTATAACACGCAGAGTTATGACGGAAAAATATGAGTGTCTACTGGACATGGGAGACCACAGAGTGGGAATGCATCTGAGGCTTCGAGAAAGACTCTGAGCCATGAAAGCAATTGTCGGCAGTCACTGGTGCTCAACAAGACAAAGACTCCCGTAACCAGGCAACAGTCTACACCTCCCTACATGGCTCAAGCCAACCATCAAACACTTTATACACTGATCTTAAAGTTCTGATTTTACCACTCCTGATACTCATAAATACTGACACAACCAATTCAGCATTAAAACAACCAGTAAACTCGATTAACTAGTACGGTGTTTTTGACGCACAATGACTGCCATCTGACAGTTACACGACATCTAAAAGTCCTCTCGTGATCCGAAACAATGTTTGAATGTGAGAACTCTCGCCAAGTGGTTGACGAGCATTCAACCACTGAACGACCGAGGAGAATGTGAGACACACTAGGCAAACGAAAACAACTCTTGTACGTTTCAGAATGTGTGTGGACAAAGTAGAGGTCACCATTTAATTGAGTGTAGCCCTCTTGAGACACCGGCTTATTCATGTGCTACCAATGTCATCTTAGAGGCTCCCATACCGCTCACTTTTCGCTAGCCCTAAGAATGTATGAAGAAGAGGAGAGGCGGTAATTCTGTGACGCGGCACCGTGGGATGAAGAATATTTGTGTTAAGTTAGCATCCACTGACACATCACGCCCCTTGGGTGGAGTCAAAAAGATAATTTGAGTCGATGTGACAAGATGTTATCAAATATGACCAAGAGTAGCAATCAACGGAGAATATGCTGCAAGTTCTTCCTTCCTCCCCTTTTTCTGAAAGTAACATGAAGTAATCAGACGAAAAATGATCTTGATTAGTGGGCTTATTCGCCTTTCTGCAGATACTCCCTCATTCATTCTCCCTCTGTTTTCTTGATGAATGCTTGTTTCACTTTTGTGTGGAGGACTTCTTGGTGCCTATAATGTACCAATGCTGTCTGTAACAGAAACAGTAATACTAACAATAATAGCGACAATAATAGAGACATTGAATCACATTTTCAGAACTAAAACGAGTGACGTTTTCCTGCAAGAAACTGTCAAGCCAGAACGCGAAAGACAAGCTGTCGCATTGGGCCACCTCAACGTGCATATACCAGTTTACTTGCTCTTGTGGAGCTGAGTACATCGGCCGTACCGTGCGCCGACTTGAAAAACGCGCTCGCGAACACTACCCAGCCTGGCTAGTAAAAGGAGACCAAAAACGTGTATACAGTTCAGTGACAGAACATCTGGTCAACTCAGGACATTCAGCGCCTTTCGAAAAATCCTTCAAAGTAATATACAAGATTCAATCAAACCTATCAAAGGGAGTGAAATCAAGACATCTGGGCATAGCTGAGGCGTTAGCTATCCAAAAGCTCAAACCCACTCTTTGTATCCAAAAGAAATACGTCCAACCCCTGTCCCTGCCATGGCCATCATAAACAGGTAAATTTTTTTTAGTAATGACCATCCCATCGCCTTTCTTATCTAAACTTCCTGTTTATTCATGTTATTTTAAGTTTTTCTTAATCCCTGTCTACACTACCATATTTTCATATCCACACTTCCTGTTTATTTTGTCATTTTACTATTTCTACATATTTAATCCCTGATTGTATAAACAATTATTCATCACACTAGTTTTTTATCCAAACATCCTGTATATTTTGTTATTTTTACATTTCTAACCCCCAATTGCACAATGTCAATCTTCTTAGTTATTATGCTACTTTGTTTGAGTTTTATCCGTCCCCCTGTTTATTATGGCATTCTAATTCCTAATTGTAATTTTTATTAATTTGACCCTTAACCGGAAATTATTCTGGAACTTTCCCATCCATTTGATATAAATACACGAATGTACAGCCTAGATGATGACTTCGTCGAAAAGAAAATTTTCTTCGCTGCAACTGTCTTTTTATTCCCTATGATCAAATGTGTATATTCCGTGATTTGAAAACTAAAATATTCAAAATAAAATAAAGACAGATTATGTTGTAACATAGCTTACTTGAGCAGCAATCAGAAAATCTTCATTAGTTACAGGAAATATTTTTCCACTGACTATTGCTAAAGCAACACTTGGAAATATATACGAATTATTTGCTTGTCCTGGACACCGCGTTATTGAAGCTTTCAACTGAGGATATTGTTCAGGTGTTAAAGTAAGCGATGGAAATGGACTACCACTGGCAAATACACATCTACCCTGAAAAAAAAACAATAGAAAATAGATACATGTGAATGAAAGATACTGTTATGATTGGGTAAGTGTCTTTGTTAGCCAATGAAGTCGGTCGTGATTTGTGCATGTATTAACTAACATCACTATCTGATTGGACAATTCTGATTCGTTGATTTATGGCTTAATTTTCTGAGGAATCTCGAAGTTATGCAACCAATCAGATTTGCATTATTTATGGTTTAAATTTCTGAAGGTTTGTAAATATAATATATCATGTATTTTGTCCAACGAGGGTTTTTGTTGTTCCGGTCGTCGTGTTTCCCAGTCTGAGTTTGTGTTTATCTTACTGTGGAAGATAAATTCAAGTTATCAGATAGTTATAATGTCGTGTTCTGGAGGCTCACCCTAGTGAAATTAGACAGGCCCACACAACCCAGAACAACTCCGTTACTAACAGAGAATGTAAGTAAAATCATTCAGTTCAACATTCTCAAACAGTCAGACTCTTCTCTAATCAAACAACTTCAGAAGAGTTTATCAAATAATCCAGTATGACGATGTAGTTGTGTTATCTATGGTGAATAGTTTAATTACAAAACTCTCCACATTGTATTCCTAAACGACATTTTAAGCACAGACTTACTTCAAAAAAAGTAGGCTTTTAGAAATCGCCAAGAAGTTATTGGAGATCTTGATTAATCATCTTGGATATGACTAGTTGTTTACGGGATGATTTTTACTCATCCCCTTATTATTTTAATTTTATTATAGCTTGACTCCACACGTTATTTTGGTACAAGTATGGAATTTTCAGCATGTGATATCGGTAGCCCAAATTTAGCAGGCCGACCATTGATATCAGGTGTGCGTCAGCCGGGGATCGAATCCCGGACCATGTGTGTGATAGGTGAGCGTCCAAACCACTGTGTCACTGACTAAATTGCATTGTTAGGGATTATTTTGTTGACCTTCAGTTCATGTTCGATAAATCTTATCAACTTTCAATATCATATCCTTGTGACCAAGTAAATTTAAAGTCCTTCCGGGGAAAATTGTAATGACAACATTCAGAAAATTATAGATGCAGCTCAACAACTACACAACATTACATGCACTGTTCTATGCATGACATTCGGTGTATGAATACCTGATTGCTTAAACCACACTAGACGAAAAGCTGGGTTCAAACCCGTAACTAATTGACAGTAGGTCAAATTCTTGTGTCCATGAGCTCTATATATTGTAAAATGTAACTGACAAAAAGCCATGAATTCAACTTTCCCTGTTTGATGACACCCGTTAACAAGGCATTCACCACAACGATATTCCTATAAAGGATCATATTTTCTCTCTCCGTCTCTTGCCCCCTAAATGACCAACATAATGATGAGTCTGACCAGCGTGTTCACTGTAGAACTCTAAGCAAAAGTGCTACACAGGTGAATTTGAAGTTAGAAATTACAGGTTATTGTATTCCATCACAGTGTCAAAATGGTCCACGGGCTCGCCATGCAACCTGAAGGTCTTTCGATCGATCCCGTGACAGCTGCGTCATGGGTGAGTACTGCCGAGTAGTCCAATACTCCCTGGTTTTTAATAGTTTTCTAACAGTTTTAGATAAGATTTTGTTGGCGCTTCAGATTCGCGTTGCTTGCAGTTGACTAAGTTGTCTTACTAGTAAATATTAATCTAATTTATTCATCACTCAGAAGCAACTAATGGTAATCATTTCTTAGTAGTAAGCCAATTTTATTATCATGGTGTACTTATGGGTCAATGGGATTAACATAAATTCATCGATTGCTGTTTTATGTTCGCCAGTAGTTGTCAGCAATCCGTATCTTTAATCGCATAAGGGACTTATGACAATTTAAAGACGAGAACTAGCAGTAGCAAGAGTCAGTACATTGAATTAAGCATTGAAATACCATGTCACACCGATTGACTTTTGTAGTTTCACAGTTGTTTTTTAGCTAATAGAATATTCACCAACGACGCTACAAGTGGTCCGTGGTTCGACTACCGGTCCATGGATGAACTCCTAAACCTCGATTACCCAGTAGTAGGTCCAGCGAAGAAAGGGATGGTTGAGCTAGCTTGAGGTAAGCAACCCCACTACGTGAAAAAAACCGACAATGCTACTAAAAATCTAAAGGGGATAGAGGAGAATAATGCTCGGGAGGACTTCGTGTGCTTTTCAAAGTGTGTGAGCGCCTACACCGTAGAAGTTGATTGATTCTTCGGGTACTTCTGCGTGAACGGAGAGCCCAGGAGACAACTGCTTGAGGCCTGTCAAACACTGCCTGTATGAACTAGTTTCTTAGATTGCTTCCGTATTAGTAACTTACCGCCGGTTATGGACCGCCGTAAATAGTGTAAGGCGGGATGTACATTTTTTGATATCCGCCTATTCTAATCCTCTCTTTTCAGAGTGGAGAGACAGCAAAGCTGGCTGGCATGCTGGTCGTCTGAGGGGAACACCTTACTGCTCTTACATCACTGTTCCCCAGCAGTACGACTTCGCCCACAGATCCCAAGCATAGTGTAAAAACAAAATCCTTACACTATGCCGGTAACTACTTTTAGTTCAGTAGCTATCCTAACAATCTTCCTGGCATGGTAGGACCTGCATGGAAAAAACTTCCAGTCAGTGCAGCTTGTTGAGTCACTGCGATATACCACCCCGACCACCACACCGAGGTAGCAGCTATCCGTCAGGAGACTTTAAAGCACAAGCTAGAAGCTCTAGGTCTCTATTTACCTAATAAATCATTCATCAAAAGAGAAAATGTGTGAGAAGAAACAGGTGAAAGGTGAATCAATCGCATATGAACAAGTGAATCAATGAATTGTATCACTAAAGGCGTGATTATAAAAGCTTCTTTTTAACAGTCACATTGGTTTCCTTAAAAATGAACATATTATTAACACATAGAATAACAACATCACGAAAAATAAAAATATAAGAAAAACATGAATATTTTCGGATTATATATATGAATATAGATATACAATGATGCTTACTTAAACCTTTGCACCAGAAAAAAGAAAATCTTCAAAAGATTAAAATAGATCAATATAAATCAGCTATCATGTGTTGAATTGCAAGGATTTGATTCGTTATATATGTGATCACAAGTCGACATCAGTCATTAAACCAGTGGAAAACTTCGGAGTGCTGGATAGCTGTCTCGTCCTAGTCCAGGACTCTTCGTCAGAAAACGCACCCACCGGAACCCGAGCCCATGACATTCGGCCTACACGGTGAGCGCTTTTAGACTATTCAGTCACTGAGACCCGATCCAAAGGCCTGTAAATTCCGACTTCTGCCTATTTGTGATACACTTAGCGAAACTGCCAGCCGATGTCACAGGTGAGAAGCAACTGTTCGCTTACCTGACTTGGTGGAACCCGCTGTTTACGACTTCCCACTAGAACTCCAGGTTACTAGTGAGTATCAGATGGAGTATTCAGTGTTATCTTGCAAGGACTTAATTGGCTACAGGTTTGATCACAAGGTGATATCAATTAAAGAACCATTGGAAAACTTAAACTAATATGGCTATAAAGACGACTAAATTCCCAAATCTAGAAGATCATATGAATACTATGTATAGTCCACAGGATTCACAAGCTGTTCCGTTCTACTTAAGCCTCAGCAACTGCCCTTTATATAATAGCTGTCTCATAGCCTACTTGGTTCCAGCAACTGAATTCCAAGTAACCGAATTGCACATCAACTCCTAGATGAAGGAATTATGACTTGGAGACATTGTTTAAGAGAGTTCAAACACATTGTAGCACTCCAGAGTTGGTCTTCAAAAAGAATGGTTATCCACAAAATTTCATCAAATAATGTTTAAACTCGAGTCACAACACCAACAAGAAACCATCATCAAAGACCACAAGAAAATTCATCCTACCATACATGAGAAACATCTCTGAAATAACAGTTAGAATAATGAAACCGTTTGATATAGATATAGCACACAAGCCAGTCAAATCACTTCATTCGATATTATGCAAACCAAAAGATCCAACAGAGAAAGGAGATAAAATTAATACCATTTACAAAATAAATTGTATGAACTGCGACAGGCATTACATCGGTCAAAGTGGGCGTCCCCTTCGAAATAGAATCCAAGAACACAAATCAACCGTGAAAAGACACTATATATGTATTCTTTAGTATCAATGCATATAGACAATTATGGACATCAATTTTATGATTGGGATAATGTCGAAATCTTAGACAGAGGAACCACCAAAAATGCTAAGGAATACCTAGAAGCCTGGTACTCAAGCGAATCAGCAAGCGATTAACAAACATGTTAATATAGACGAAATATACTAACTAATAAAAAGTAAATCAGGTGACCAGACAGTTTAAAATCCAAGTCAATAGAAAATGGTCAATACATATGTGAAGATGGTTACCGAGAAACGCAATTATATCACTCATGAAGAAATTTAAATCATTTCGCTCTATGCTAAATATTGCACTGAAGACGTTGTCCAGCAAGGGGACGAAGAAAGCTCGGCAGCCAAACCAACCAGCTCAGAGAACACTATTAATTGCAAGGCATAATAACTGACTAAGTGTTGTCGATCAAATTTAAAATTTGATTACTAGAAACTCTCACTAGTAAACCTGCATATATATATATATATATAATTGTAAATATTAAACTGAAAAACGCCACAGAACAATAATCAAACATAAGTGCATAAGTGCAAACAAAATATAAACTCATGCTAAGAATACAAAAAAAAACATAAATTTTTTATCTCAGGGTGTCACAGTGAGTGAAGCAAATTCCTTCTTCTTAACAATACTGACATAACAAAATAAAAGAACACAATTGCTTACATGTGTATACAGATAGGCTTCTTCAGCGGTGCACTCTGCTTTCAGTGTTGGATTACTCAATGCCATAATAACTGGTTTCTCGTTCATTTCAGCCATTAGATTTAAAATATGCTCATCAAAGACTTTTGGTATAGCAGCAGCACCAATTAACGATGTACACTTTGAATACTTGATAATCTAAATACAATATAAAAGTGATATAACTATACATAAAAATTCATAATAATATGAAGACTAGTTCAATTTATTTTTAAAATAAACCATTCCAATTTTTAAGTGTTGGAGTGTGTTGACCAAACTTCACTTATTTGGAGAGTTGCATCAGCCAGTCCCAGCCGGTTTATCTCTAACGACATCTCAGCATGGATACAGAAGGGTCGTTTGACATATGCTCGCCAAATTACGCCATCTCTGGCGTAGATGTGATATCCGGCTGTCGACCGAAGGAAGTGTATACTGCTCAGCAGTTCAATCTGGCTGGCTGTGAGATATGGCCATTGAAAGTGGAAGACATGAGGGGGCCCGGCTAGCTGTCTTTGATCATGGGTGCCTGAGTTCTATCTCCTGTGTCAGATGGTGGTATAATAAGGTGAGTAATATTGAGGTTAGGCATCAGTTGAGTGCTAGGTAGGTAAGGAGGGGAAATCAATAGATGACGTTGTGAAGGTACACCGATTGAGGTGGTTAGAATATGTGTTACGCACTCCTATCCTGGCCATCGCCTTCCTCAGCGGGTAATGTTAGCTGACGCAGGGAAAAAAGAGCTAGTGGTGGTCACACCAAAACATGACTTCATCAGTCAATGAGATCTACAACAATTAGTTATAGCCAGCCAGCCACGTAGGGAGGTGTAGACTTCCTGTCTACCTGGTTTGGTTTCTTGAGATCGTAAAAATCAATGAAGACTGGAGACAATTAGAGACATGTTTCAATATCGTTCTCATTGGCTGGCGTAGATGCATTCACTGTTTGTCGTCTATAATATCTAAAAAAAATTCTACTGTTCTTCCATATTACTATCCTTGTTGCCTCACTTACAGTTCTCTTTATTATCTCTCTATCTTTACTCTCTTCTTTTGGTTTGTATGCTACAAGGAGGGAGTGTGGCAATTGTGAAACGTTCTAATTTGAAACCAATCGGTTAGTCAATTTAAAGTGGTCGCGTACTAACCTCAAAAGCGAAACATCCTAGGCCAGCATAAATTAAATTTTTATTCCTTTACGTTCCCAGTGGAAAATACGGTCTCAGACAAGATCTTTAAAGTTTCGGTAGCAATGGTTTTACTTTTTAAAGTAGAGTGGTTATCAGTCTCACTTCACCCCAACCTTCTCTCTTTATTGGCCTAATATTCGGCTTAGTGAGGTTAAGGAATGTGTCGGTCGGAGATCGAACCCGAGACAATGTGGCTGGCTAGCAAGCATTCTACCGCCGAACCACCGGCGCATAACTCTATATACTGAGATATAGTGAAGGAGATTTGTAGCTCAGGAATATGATTCTAGTAGATAATAGTTTAGTTGTGAAGCTTAAATTGTCTCTTTGCAAACAACACCCACAGCACATGCTTCAATTTCAAGTAAGCTTTTAAAATTTTTCACGAGTTTATCAGTCACTTATCCTGGTAACCATAATTTTCACTGACGAGTTGTTTTTGTTTTATTTCCCCACCCTCTTGTATTAATTATTTCCCTGACCTGGAGGTTGACTTGTTGTCTATGTGATTTGCTTCCTATAGAATAGTAAATCTGGTCTAGGTCAATATGTTTGTTGACTGTCAATTCACCTGAATACCAAGTCTTACAGAAAATCTGTGGCAATTTTAGAATTTTCTCTGCCTAGGATTTGTATATTTTCTTAATCAAATTGATGCCGATGGTTTTCTGCATGCATTGATGTTGGGTTAGCGGTTAGGATTCCTGGCTCCGGTGCTTCGATGGCGCAGGGATTAGGATGCTCTCCGACCATTAATATGGTCCGAGTTTCAATCCCCGGCCAATGCACTCCCTCGCCTCACTAAGCCAGAAATAAAGCTGGTAGAGTGGAAAGGCTGGGCATGAGGCTAGCAAACCCATCCTGTAAAAATAAACACTGCTACAAAAACTTTAAGCCCCTAGCTTGAGATCCTATGTTCCACTGGGAACGTGAAGGAATAAACAAAAATTGATGTGAGGAAATAGACATCGTGTCTTTAGATGCCTGGTTAATGTCCACAAAAGTAAATACAAGATACGGGCGTCCATTCTGACTAATGTAACATTTTTCCACAGTTGTTGCAAATTATCTTGTAGATAATGTTGGCTATATCGTCTTTCGCTGTTGTGCCTGTTTGGTCGACATAGACCCGAATGAAGTGATTTTTTTTAATTGTAGGCGATATCCATTCCAAAAAGTTTGAATAATATTGTAGCAGTTTCGGAGATGTTCTTCAATATATACTTTAGGCAAATTAATTTTTTTATTTTTGATTTACAGCTTGATTCCACACCGTATTTTCAGTACAAGTGTGGAATTTTCAGCATGGATATCGGTAGCCCAAATTCAGGCCGACCATAGATATCGGGTGTGCGCCGGACCATGTACCATGGTCGACGAGAGTCCTAACCACTCTGCCACCGACGCACAGTAAGTAATCTTTAATTTCCAACAGCTTTTCCAGTTTATAATGCTAGCATTAAGACTCCATCGCTAGAAGTTGAACCTAGAGCTTACAGGTCACGAATCAAGCCAAATGACCATCCTCTAGCAACTACGACGGAATACAATTAATCATTAATTCTAACTTCTGAAAATTCATGGAAACACCAGTCAGTGTTGTCGGTGAGCACCTGATTTGACACCCAAATTGGTGAAGCCAACTGTTCCCGACTTCTATCTTGAAAGTTACTCCAATGCTCGCTAGTGATTACCTACTTCAGAATGAAAGCCCTGGAATTGCACAGTGAGGAGTCGTAACCAGTGGGGTCCACTAAGTCAGGTGTAAGAGTATGTACTCTCCGATGACACTGCCAACATACTTCGCGGATTGGGTGAAATTATAATACACAAGTCATTGAATTCTAATCAACCAAGTTGAATCGTTAACAGGTTAAAAACAATTAGTTCCCTTTATGAATTTAGATAAAGCAATAAGAAGACGTAATTTGTCTGAATCGTGTAATGTATTTGCGCAACACATTTCGAACAATCTGATCACACACGGACTTGTGATAGGAATATATATGAAATTAATAAAGAGGTGAGAGGTGAGAAAATAGACTTAGGTCAAGTTAAAAGGACATATTCAAGGTCAAAATAACAATGAAGACTACTAAACCAAATAGCAGAGGTAATAGTAAAACTAAATTTACCGAGGAAGGTTTAATGTGATGACGAATTGTTTTTGAACTCATAAAGGTGGTTTAAACTTTCTAATTGCTAGGGCTTCCACAAACTTTAGGATACGCCCTACCCTAAACACGTTTTATAGCTAGGTTTAAAAGATCTGTTTACGTTAATTTTATGTCCTGTCTCTATAATATGTTTCTCAATGGAGGAGCTAGGTCTCATGTTCTCACCGTGAATAGGTTCTAAAGAATGCATTTGTTTCTGGAGCCATTTAGAAATATGCTCTGAAGCCCTTACTTGCAGAGATCAATGAGTCCTTCCTATGTTTGTGTGTCCACACGTACATTCAAATTGGTAAATACATTGGGATGTGACGTCATTTTTCGCATGTTCGAAGGGCTTAGATAGATATATTGGCTTAACATTCTCTATTATTATGATATTGGCTGCATAAGAAGTCTTTGACAGAAGCGTTCAGTCTTTGTCTAGTTATCAAGCTGCTTTGATGCCCCATATAGGGTAGCTTGATGTACACGTCTTTCTTAGGGGCGAGTTAAAGAGTGGGTCTTGGTGATCTGACTGCTTCATATCTCCTGATGAACTTGTCTGGATAATTGTTATCAACCAGAGTTTGTGTCAACTTTCTTTCTTCTTCATCAAGTGTGTCTTCGCTGCATATTCGTTGAATTCTACTGAAAAGGCACCTTACTAGGGCTCTTTTGTACCGAAGAGGGCAGAAACTGTGGTAATTAAGATACTGTCCTGTCCAGGTAGGTTTTCTATAAATAGATCTTTTTATTGACCCATCAAGCCGTCGACTAAGCAATATGTCTAGGAAAGATAAAAAATTATCTTCCTCTTCTATAGATGTAAGTGATATGCTATTCTGAACTTCATTCATTCGATTTATAATTGAGGTGGCAGAACAGGACTTATCACTGATGATTACAATATCATCTACATACCTTCTAATAAAGCGGCACATTTTCGATTAAATCCTCCGATAAATTCTCAATGTATGACATAAATATCTGCTAAAAGGGGCCCTAACGGACTTCCCATAGCAACACCAACTTGGCGGAAACAATCGCCTTCAAATATATATATATGTATATAAAACAGTACTTACTTCGGCTAGCGATGTTAATTCCGGTGTTCCAGATGGACGAGCAAACTGGAGTTTATGACTATTGATACCACCAGATTTACGACCTTCAACAATTAGACCTTTACTGTCAATCAGGTAGATATGCTGACGTGCTTCTTCCATTGTTAAACCATAGCATTTATTCAACGCTAAACAAACTAGATGAGCAAAGCCAAGATTTGCTTCCCCAGCACCATAACAGACAATGCTCTCCTCTGTCAATTTACGACCAGTTAACTTTAATGAGGCTAGCAATGCAGCTAATACGACAGATGCTGTACCCTAAAAATAATAATAAAGGAAAGAGAATTGTTGAATAATGAAATATCGAGACAAAAAAAATACAAATTATTTCACTATGAAAGGCAAAGAATTCCATTCAGCTGTCTACCTGACTGAGTTTCACACCAAAAAGAATTTCCACAGAAGTTCAATTTGCCACATTTGATGTATTACACAAAGGTAGACAAAATGGAGGCGAAAAAGAGATTAAAAAGGAGTATGATAAATAGAAATGTGAGGGAGAAGGAATGATTATTATTATTATTCCCTTGGGTTCCGATTGGAATGTACGGCTTTAACAACACATATCCATTTCGCCCTACTTTCTGCTGTCCTCTTCAGCTGGCTGAAGCCAAGTTTGACCATAATCTCTCATCTCCTCCTCCTCCAACTCACACGATTTCCTCCATATCACCCGCACAATGACAACCCACTCGTCGATTCCCATTGAGATGCCACTCGAGTGATGGCCTACACTGAGAGCGATGTTATTCGACTGTCTCCTCAACGAATGCCCCAATCAATCCATCTCCACTTTCTCCTATATATCTGTTGAGCAATTGGCTCTCGCCTGTTGGTTTGTTCCCAGTCACAGTTGCTTCTTGCTAATTCTTTCACCGCTAACAATATCAAACTAAGATGAGACAGCTGTTCAGTGCTCTAACTAACATTCGTTAGTGATGAAATCTACGTTGGAATCATCTAATTATCAAATATTAGGCAGAGGAAACACCAAGAGTGCTAGAGAATTTTTAGAAGCCTGCCTGATATTCCAGTAAGTCGTCAATCAATAGACACATTGACTAAGACAAAATTTACCAATCGATAAGAAGGAAATCTCATACACAAAGAGTCAAACCTCAGGTGAAGGAAACAATCAGTACTAAGGATTGTGAAAACAGACAGAAGCAACCAATCACGTTCAAAGTTAACACCAGGAGAGATGGCTAATAGTGCATTCGTGGAGAAATCTAAAAGCTCACCTCAATTCACATTGAAGTTTGCGCTCAAGATGTTGCCTAGTAGGGCAATGCAAGCTTCGCAAATAAACCGTCCGGTTTGCAGTTAACAGTGTTCTCTGAGCTGGTTGGTTTGGTTGCGGAGCTTCCGTCATCCTTCTGGACAACATCCCCTTTCAGCACAATATTTAGCATAAAGTGGAATGATTTAAATTTCTTCATGAGTGATGTAATTGCGTCTCCTGGTAACCATCTTCTTGACATCTGTATTGATCATTTTCTATTGACTCGGATTTTAAACTTTCTGGTCACCTGATTTACTTTTTATTAGTTGGTATATTTCGTCTATATTACCGTGTTTGTTAATTGCATATTCGTTTGAGTACCAGGCTTCTAAGAATTCCCTGACCGCACTTTTGGTGTTTCCTCTGTCTAAGATTTTGACATTATCCCAATCAAATTGATGTCCGTAATTGTCTATATGCATTGGTACTAAAGAATATATAAAGTGTCTTTTTACGGCTGATTTGTGTTCTTGGATTCTAATCCGGTTGCTAAGAGAATACAGCAACATCAAGAACATCATTATCAAACATTCTATTATTGACAGTAATGTTATTTCATGAATAATACCCATCCAAGTATTTACGTAAGTAATAAAAAACCAAGTCGTTCAACGAAGAGGTTCTTTTCGATTGATTTCAATTTCCTCAGCTATACAACGGCATTTATATACAACTTCCCACAAAAGAAGCTACTAAGGAAAGAGATGAACTGTCATAGGCATAGTTGCTAATATTAACCAATACGCAAGGGAATTTCGGTAAGGGTGATAGAGTTATGTAATGAGGTAATTATTTAATGAACTAGTTTCAATTGCAAAGCTTTCGTCGTCCATCTGCATGACGACATCTTCAGCGCAAGTTTTAGTATAAAATGAACTCATTTGAATTCTTAATGAATGATATAATTGCGTCGCCTGGCAACCTTCTAGAAGGACGACGAAAGCTTCACAAATTACACCAATCAGCTCAGAGAACGCAACTAATTCAAAATCATCCACCTGAGCTACAAATCTTCTCTATTATTTCAAGAACTAGTTTCAATTGATAATATCATTTACAGACAAAGGGATGGGTCTGACTGTTTTGAGGCAAGCCTAAATAACGGTCCGAATTAAAGTCTACAATTAATCAATAATTTTCAGCTGTATACAAGATATGTGGACGTCATTTTTGTTGTTTATGACAGTAAATGTGGCCTTAATCAGTTGTTACCTGGACATCCAAAGATAAAATTCACTCATGAAATGGAAAACGAATCTAAAATTCATATTCTCGGTGTCGTACTAACAAGAGGACCTAATGGAAGGTTTGTTCATAGGAAATCTACAAGGAAAATATCAACTGATAAGTTTCGATAGCTGGGGTCGCCGATTGATCGAAAACGAAATTTAACTATAACCACTTAGCTCTTGTGTTCAAAGTATTCACGATCCTGACGTCATTCTAAAAAAAAGAGTTAAACCTTTCGAGGGGAATCTTCATCCAAAATGGATATTCACTAAGATTTACTGACAAGAACATAAAAACGAAAATGTAAAGACATGATTTGCAATTAGTTGTGTTCTCTGAGCTGATAGGTTTAATCGTGGAGCTTTCGTCGTCCTCCTGGACAACATCTACAGCTCAGCGGAAGGTTTAGCATAAAATAAACTGACTTGAATTCGCCATGAATGATAGAATTGTGTCTCCTGGTAACCATCTTCGTGACTGGTAGTCGATTTACATCTGTATTGATCACATCTTATTGATTTGGATTCTGAACTTTCTCGTCATATGATTTACTTTTTATTAGTTGGTAGATTTGGTCTATACTGATATGTTTGTTAATCGCATATTCGCTTGAGTACCAGGCTTCTATGAATTCTCTGGCATTACTTTTGGTGTTTCCTCTGTTTAAAATTCCGATATTATCCCAATCACAAAATTGATGTCCATAATTATCTATATGCATTGATATGAAAGAATATATATCATGTCTTTTTACAGCTAATTTGTGTTCTTAGATTCTAATTCGAAGGAGATGCCCAGTTTGTTGACCGATTTAATGTCTGTTACAGTTCATACACGCAATTTATTTTGTAATTAGTATTAATTTTATCTTCTTTTTCATTTGGATGGGTCTTTTGGTTTACACAATGTCGATATATGAAGTGATTGTGCTGGCTGGCTGGCTTGTGTGCTATATCTATTTCAAACGGTTTCAGTATTCTAGCTGTTATTTCAGACATATTTTTTATTTATGGTTGGATAACCGTTTTTGTAGTCTTTGATGATGGTTTCTTGTTGGTGTTATGCTTCGAGTTTAAGCACTTTCTGATGAAATTTTGAGGGGGATATCCATTCTATTTGAAGACTGTTAGTAGGTATTTTTCCCGCATTCTCTTCAACACTGGAGTAGTGCTACAGTATGTTTGAACTCTTTTAAACAATGTCTGCACACAGTCTCTTTTATGGACAATTGGGTTATTACTATTATAATTGAGTATTTGGTCTGTGTGCATTGATTATACACAGATATGCCTTTCAAAAGGAAAATGTTTGCAGAAATACTAAGAGTAATGTTCTCCAGTCTCCCAACTAGTCTACAGAAGCATGAAAGACAAGATCTGGCACGTGACTACTTACAAATATGTTGATGCAAAGTGATTACTGTGGAAAAGAAATACCAATAATAATGACGACTAGTGTGAATCGCTTCAATCAACGCTGGCAAAGTATAGTCAGTATAGCAAATTGTGCAGCACCCTCACGATACTTTTAGTCTTGTCATCCCAAAGATTAGAAATTTCATTTAAACCATAATGACTTTCACTGGAAAATTGGATTACACTTTCCACAAAGCCTTTTGAAAGATCTCTCTTGCTTCGATCCAAAATGTGATTAGCCAGTTGAAATGTGGAGGTGTAGCTATTAAAAACATTTATTTCCCGATACGAATTTAAAACAAACAATAAAGGTTAATAAAGCAGGATTTAATGAATTCATCAAATTTCGGTAGAACTCGTCAGCTGAATACTCTACATACACGGATATATATACTTTTAAAATTACATTGGAAGATATAGGACTTAATCATGCAGAAAGACAGGTGCGAATGTTTTTCCAGGTCATGTTCAAATAGATAAGGAGAGAGAGAGTATGAGAAATCAAAATTAAGATAAATTGCATTACGCTTCAATTACACATCGTTTAGATAAACAATTAGTCATTAGAGAATATAACAAGAATTGCAAACAGTTATACCAATAGTGACAGTTATAATAACAATAATAATAATAGTTTTGAAGTGAGTCAAGATAATCCTAATGATAAAGGATAGTTTTAAACGAATCAAAAATAATAATAATAAAAATAATAAGAGGTAAAATTATAAGTAAAATGTACTACCATGGTAGATTCAGAGTCACAACCATCTCCTTTTGTACACAGAGACCTGGTTTATAAACTCGAATTGCACAAGCCTCTGCAATTGCAAGCATCTTCTTGTTTGTTTGTCTGCTCACTGACAATAGTGAATGACTTGACCGCGTCGATATCATGTCCGTAATCCACAAGATGCTTTGTTATTGAGGATTTTGGCACTTTGAACTCAGCTGTTTTCAACCATTTTGGCAAATGCTCCATCATGCCAGTAGACAATCGCCTTTCCGTACGACCTATGTATTTGCTTCCACAAACACACTCAAATTGATATACGCAGTTTGAAGTGTCGAGGATTGGCGACTGGTCTTTCCCAGATTGTTGAAGCACTCGCTTAGTGGTGTTAAGGAAAACAAGTTTTGCAGCATAATAAGTTCTCTTGATGGCTTTGTCGAGTCTTCGTTTGACTACTTCCTGTATATCATCTCCTTTGAACGGCAAACTGATATAGACAGGTTTCTTCGGAACTGTTTGGATTGTTTTGCAGGGGCTATTTCCTCTAGAGTATTTATTAATGAACTTCTCAGGATATCCATTCTTAAATAAGATATCCTTCAGAGATTTTATTTCATGCTCAATAGTACTGTCAGAACAAATTTTTCGTGCTCTATTGAACAGTGTTCTGAATAAGTTCTTTATATACTGGATTGAAACAAAGCTCTTGAAATGCATGTACTGTCCTGTCCATGAAGACTTTCTAAATATAGATCTTTCGATTGTGCCATCAGTCGTTTTCGCCAGATTAACGTCTAAGAATTTAATAGTATCGTATTCCTCGTGTTCTACTGTGAAATTGAGATTTGGATGGCATGAGTTGAATTTTATCAACATGTCTTCGGCTTTTGATCTGCTTCCACAGACAATAAAAATGTCATCAACATATCTTAGGTATACATCCGTTTCTTGTATATGGTGCTGCAAGGTACCGGTTTCTAGGTGTGACAAGAATAAGTCAGCGAAAAGTGGTCCCAAAGGCCTTCCCATTGCGACAGCATCAAAAGTACATATATCCGTGTATGTAGAGTATTCAGCTGACGAGTTCTACTGAAATTTGGTGTAGCTATTAGTTGGCGCATGAACATGATTCCTTTGCATTCCATATGGAAAATATGCCCTTAGGCTTAAAGATCTTAGTAACGATGCGGTTACTAGCCTCACACTCACCCAACCTTCCAAGCTAACTACCAGTTGGATGAGATTCAGGAGTGAATCAGCCGAGAATCGAGCTCACACCTTCCAGATGTGTCGCTGGAGAGCAGTGCATCATTGAACCACCATCACCACCGAAGGAGGATTTAAACAACTGTATCACCTTCAAATGGAATTCCGAATTAAATAAATGAATGGATGAATGAATAAATAAAAAATCTGTTCAAAAATTGAAATCAATCACTATTGAAGTGATTAGAAAATGAATAGCTATATATATATATATATATATATATATATATATATATATATATATATATATATATATATATATATATGCTAATAACAATAATATTGAAATTTTTATAACATACAGACACACACACACACAGACGCATTGACTTACTTGGATATCGTCGTTAAATGTACTATAGATGGGTGCATATTTTTGTAATAATCGAAAAGCATTATGATTTGCAAAATCTTCAAATTGTATCAGGACATGTTGACCGAATCTAAATAAAATATATGGATGTATGTATGCGTATCGTAACGTATACAGGGCAAAATGTAAGATAAATTAGAATAAATATCTTAAATACAGTGAACATTATTACTATTATTATTGTTATTACTAGTATTACAGGATTTTTACCTATGTTGTCTACTTTATAAATAAAATTTAATTCCGTTTATTGCCAAATCCTTGTCTTGTACAAGGATCTCTTCAGCATGTATCCGATTTGCCGAGCACAATTTGTTTCCAAATTGCTTATCATCGTGGGATCAATCATTCTGCACTTAGCTAAATTCTTATGTTCACATAAACTTACTACTCCCAATCTACTAGTTTGACCTATATAATTGACTTAACTCACAGTCATTGCAAGGTGTTTTGTAAATTATATTATCTTGTTTAATTGGGTTCACCGGGTCCTTTGGCTTACAGAGCTTGTCTCTAGTACTAATATTATTTCCGAATGCACTTTATCCTATATTTGTTTTATTCAAATGTCTAATCATCAATTTTTACTCATGTATATAAATGAAGCAGAACGTTGTGTGTGAGTGCCTTGATATGATTATGAGCAGTAATAAATTGTGCTCGAAACGTGGTCATTATCAAATATCGCTGTATATCAGCACTGTGTGATTTAATCAAAATAAAATCGTATCCCTAATGGAGTTATACTCTACCACAGTGCCCAAGTTTTATAATTATATCAGTAGATTACTACTATTCAATCCTTGGTTTCTGAATGGAACATATGGACTCAGCGGCATATCTTGATTACCCTTACTCCTTTCGCGTGACTTTCAAGTGGTCTACGTTCACCTGAAATCCTGTCTTCTCTGTCAATTTCTTGATTCTCACATGCATATTCTTCGCTTTTGTAAAACGTTAAATATAAATCACCAGAGAAATCCAGACCCACAACCATTTTGACGCTCCTGGGTATGCCTGTCTTCTCCCTTCCCACGATCTGTCACATGATCCATTTCGAGTGGAAGAAAGACTACCGTGTCAATATGTCAAAGAAGGACAACTTAAGCCTAAGTCAAAACTGGTGCAACATGATGTTCTTGTAACCTCACCCTCCTTCCAAGCAAACCACTGAGCCTTATCATCCTGAAAAGACTAAACGATGACCCAGATGGACAACTTCGTTTGCAACAGGTCGAATTCAGCAAAAACATGTAAGTTGATTACAATCTGGAACTAGTCATTTCAAAAAAATAGGACTACCCACATAACAATATTATTTTAATACGCACTCAGAAAACAAAACTGAACCTATATCATCCTCATCAAAACAAAACAATACGCACTAGACTAGACTAGACTAAACAAGACTAATGAACTTGAATGACACTTGACATAGAACTCTAACTGTAACAACTAAAATGGTAACATTAAATAATATTAAACTGTTCGATTTACAACACGACCAAAACAATACTAGAATACAGAATTATTTAGGTTACATAGAAGTCATACAAATACAGACGCCATCGACGGTAATCACCAGAACGATACAATTTTGACCACGAATTGGTAGAAGTTAGAATTCATGGGCCATTCGATTGGCTGCTAGTGGCTGGATGGTTTGTGAACTTGACTTGCTACCATAAGGTTCTAGGTTCGAATCCCAGTGGGTATGCGCTGTCAATGAGCCCCAAACCAAGACCAGGTGACTGTTCACTGCTTCCAGATGGTTTTCAATGGTTCTCCCACTGATATCACTTCACAGTCAAACTTAAAACAGATCAAATTCCTATAATTTAACTCTTGACAATTTTGTCCCCCTAAATCTTTCAATTCACTATTCCGACCTCCGTCTCTATCTAGGTAATTCCACTTTTCAAAAGAACGGTTACTGAACAAAAATACTCTTTTTGATAACTTCATCATCAGGTTCTACAGTTATATATACATAATAGTGATCCTAAATAATACGTCTACAATTATATTAGTGTTGAACTAAATAAGGTGCAATTCGAAGTACTTTCACTTGGCCTTAGATTTTGCGATAGACCGAAACGAGTTAATCACTTAGATACTGATATTGAATTTGAAAACTTATTTAGTCAAACAAGGGATCTAGTTCCATCATCCACCTTGGAACTAGAAAGCTTCAAATCCAGTCCAGTGGATTCTTGTTATCAGTACAAAAACATCGAATACGACAGTAAAAGTTTCTTGACGAAGGAGCACAGAGAAGAACTAAAGAAACTGATAAATGATGAGACAGTGATAATCATAAAGCTTGATGAAGGATCAGGAGTAGTCCTCCTGGATAGAAGTGACTATACTAAAAAGATGAAGGATATGTTGAATGACACAGAAGTTTCAAAAACTTGAGGAGAAGAAAGATTTCAATAACAAAACAGAGAATGAATTAACCAGACGTTTAAAGAAACTAAGGGAGGAGCAGATATTTCCTGAAAGTTTATATGAAGAAAGCAGGCCAACGGGCACGTACACGCCAAAATTGTATGGCCTACCTAAAGTGCATAAACCGGAGTACCGTTAAGACCAATACTTGATATGCAAAATTCGCCCTACCATGCTCTAGCTAGATGGTTAGTAAATATTATGAAACCTTTGCATGCAAAGATAGTGAAATATAGCGTCAAAGATGTATTTGAATTCGTATACAAAATCAAAGATATTAATATCAAGGACAAAACCATCATATCTTTGAAAATAACATCTTTATTAACAAATGTACCTCTAGTAGAAACAGTTAACTACATATGTGAACAGGTGTATAACCAGTTGATAAATATTGACATCCGTACTGAAATCCTAAAAGAATTGTTACTAAGGTGTACCATGAATGTAAATTTCAAATTTGACGGCACACTCTACAGACAAGTGGATGGGGTGGCGATGGGCTCCCCATTGAGTCCCATTTTGGCTGATTTCTTTCTAAGTAAACTAGAAAACGGACCTTTGAACAACCTTATCAGAAAATTCTCATTTTATTGCCGGTATATGGATGATAATGATTCGGAAAGGAACACAATAATAACTGAATTCAATGAAGTACATTCTGCTATGAAATTCATATGAGAAGAGGAATCTCAAAATAGAATCGCCTTCCTAGATGTCTTCCTTACACGAAAGCCAGATGGTGCCATAAAGAGAAATTCGCATCGGAAGAGCACATGGACAGGACAAAATACACACTTTCACAGCTTCGTTCCTCTCCAGTACAAAAGAAAATTATCAAAGACCCTCCGGCCACTGGGTTAGAGCTATACGTCCAGAAGAAGTTATGGAAGATGAATTATGCATTTTATATGATACTTTGATCGAAAATAGCTATACCGACAAATTTATCAAGAAACACATGACAAATAAAGCGAAAAAGGACTACTCATTATGCGTAAACAAGAAGTCACTTTATATACAACTTCAGTTCAAGGGCGATGTACCAAGTGAAATAATTACGAAGAAATTAAGAAAATCAGTTTAAAGAACTTTTAATGCTGGTAAAATACAAGTCTTATTTTTTATACGACAAATGGTGATTCCTTGATTGAAAGATGAAGTACCTAGACTAGCCACTTCCAAGTGTATCTACCAATTCAACTGAGCATCAGGTGGAGCGAGTTATATTGGCGGTTACTCTAGGAAATTGCTTTTTCGTGCTCGAGAATATCTCCCACTATGGCTAAGTAAAGGTGTAGTAAAAATCATCAACAGTTCGATATTAGACCATCTGGTCCAAACCGGCCACAAAGCCAGCATTGAAGAATCCTTCTCTATCATCTACCGGGTACCAAATAAATTGCCAAAAATATCGAGGTACCGCATACTCTAAACACCAGAGGCTATTGCAATTTGCCTCAAACAACCAGTGCTCTGTGTTCAAAAAACGCAAGTCCAGCCACTAATACTGCCCTGGCCGGCCTTCAGTAGAGACTATAAACTCATGAATCTGTAATATTATCTTTCCTAATTTTTCTGACACTCAGTTTAGTGTTATGTGGATGTTACTGAGCTGTAATCTGTCAATATTATTGATTCGATGTTATTTAAACAACATTAGTGTTGTTTATAACACCAATTCATTCATTCATTCGCTAATATGTATATATAACTGTAGAACTTGATGAAGAGCAGCTTATCGAAAAGAGTATTCTTTGTTCAGTAACCATTTTATTTGAAAATTTCCATTCCACTTTTGTTTCCGTTTAGGAGAATTCCTTAAGGTTTTTTAAATAATCAATTTCTTTGATCTTATAAACTTCAAAGAGAAACATTAATTTATGAGTAGAAATCAAGTAGTCTTTATCGAAACACAGTTTTATACCATACGAAGAAGGAACATCAAAGGCCCTACATAGGATTCTTGGTAATAAGGCTGGAATTAGAGTGACATTTAAACCAACCAGCCAGTGCAGTCAAAGAGAAACTTTGAGGTAGTTAAAAGACCCAATAGATCCAATTAAGGACAACAGTAATGTAATTCACCAAATACCACCACCAAATGACTATCAGTGAGGTCAGTTTACATAGGTCAAACTAGTAGATCGGATCGATTAGATTATTGGAACATAAAAATCTAGATAGAGTTAGACGGAATGACCTGGTTAAGTTAAATAATCTAGAAAAAAGCTCGGTTATTGCAATGCAGTGACATCCAAGTAATAACACTGTAGAATGGGGTAGGTTAAAAGTATTTAAAAAAAGTAATATAGTTAGGTGGAGAGAGGGAGCGATTAATCACTGAATCACCGTTCATCGGGCCAACACCAAACACGTGTAAATCAGCATGACGCAACATCTACACCAGAGATATAGAAGATGGTAATAAACAACGATGGAGATAGAGAAAAGTATATATATGTGAAGTATGTTATGGAGCTGCATGAATATGTACTCATATGATTATGAGCAGCAATACACCGTTCTTGAAACGTCACCCAGTTATTAATACTGTGTCACTTACTGTGCGTTTTATCAAATAAGCGCATCTAAAGTGGATTTCGAAGAGTAAATGTG